ATTTTATAATAGTACCAGTTCTTTCTAGTTATTTAGATCTCAGCCGAAGTATCACTTTCTCAGAGTGGCCTCCCCAGTCTGCTGTTATACCTAGTCATTCTCTCTCTTGTCAACGGGTTTTAATTCTTTGCATACTTTTCACCTCTACCTGATTTTGTCTTGTTTGTTTGTTTCTTCTTCTTCTTCTTCTTTTTTTTTTTTTTTTTTTTTTGTCTATCTCTGCTCCCTGTTGCCCTCTGACCCTCCCAGCTGCTGGAATGTAAGTTCCATGAAAGAAGGACTCTGTCTCTCATGTTCATTGCTGTATTCCCAGTGCCTGCAGCAGCACCAGGCATGGTGTGGCTGCTGAATGGCCCCTTCCTATGTCTCCACCCTGATCTGGAACCAAACACCTTGCTCTCTCTGCTCTTCAGTCCCCATCTTTCAGTTCTCAAAGCACCTTGCTTTTTCCTGCCCAGAGCCTTTGCACGTGCTCTTCCTCTGTCCAGAATTCCCACACTGTCTCTCCCTCATTTTGCCTCAATACTTTCTACTCTTTTTTAAACTCTTAGCTCAATTGTCATTTCTATGGTGAAACCTTCCACAGTTCATATCACCAACTCTTCCGTGGTTCTTTTCATGTTTGAATTTATATTCATTTGTATGATTCTGTGATAATCTATCTTCCTCGCCATTCTGACAGCCCAGCTGGCAGGGTCCAGGTCTGTTTGGGCTCATCCTTTATCTCCTGCACCCAGGACAGTGCCTGGCCCACAGCAGGTACTCAAAGTGACCTGGAAGTGGTTGTTAGAGGAATGAGTTCACTAAAGAATAAATACTGGATTTCATTGGTTCTAAGAAGTAGGCTTGCCCCAAACTTAACATTTCTGAAATAGGGATGCATCTTGCAGTTGATGGCATCTTAGAGTTGATGAACATGTTTTTAATAAATATATTACTATATTCTGTTTCACTAGTAATCAAAGAAATGCAAATTAAATCAAGATGCTGTTTTTCAGATACCAGATGTGCAATGATTTTTTTGGTAGTGAATTTTAGAGACATTAAATAATGGGGGCATCTGACCGGCTCACTTGGTAGAGCACATGACTCTTGCTCTCAGGGCTGGAAGTTGGAGCCCCACGTTGGGTGTAGAGATTACTTAAAAATAAGAAAAAAGAAATCTAAAAAAATAAAATAAAAAATAAAAATAAAAATGTTGGTAAAGGTGTGGGGAAATAGGTACTTTTATATGCTACAGTAAGAGTTTATATTGGGACAGTCTTTCTGGGGAGCAATTTGGCAATATATATTCAAAGTCTTAAAAATATTAATATCCTGTGGCTTATTCAATTTAACAGTTGCTCTAAGGAAATAATCAGGGATGTTTAAAAAGATTTCTGCCAATGATTCTCACTAAATAACATTTAATAAATAAATATTAAATAAAAATTGTATGTAAATAAAAAAATTTAATATATAGTGAAAAATTGACTAAAGGTAATCTGTAAAATGGAATACAGACCAATGGTAAGTACATGTGTCCTCAATTTTTAAAGATATGGAAAAATATTCATAATACAATATATTTTTTGATAGACTATAAGCTCAATGAGGGCAGGAACCATGAATATTGTGTTTAGTATATATTCGATATCTAGCACAGTGCTGACACATAAATATTTGTTGAATATGGAAGTGAAGAAGCAGGTATTAAACATAACGTGGAGTGGTGCTGGGAGCCTGGTGGCAGGGTGCCCTTACTCGGTAGGGTGATGGCGGTGTCACGGTGCTGAGGGGACACCCCTGCCCACACAGCCCCTGTGCTGGTGCCAGCCCCACGCCCCCTCCAGCCCTGCTTCCTCTGTGCTTCCTCCCTTTGCTCACACCAGGGCTGATCAGCTGACTGAAGAATAGACTGCTGAACTCAAGGAAGCTTTCTCCTTATTTGGCAAAGATGGCAATGGCACCGTCACAACAAAGGAACTTGGAACTGTCATGAGGTCACTGGGCCAGAACCCAACAGAAGCCGAATTACGGGATATGATCAACGGGGTGGATGCTGATGGCAATGGCACCATTGACTTCCCAGAATTTCTGACTATGATGGCTAGAAAAATGAAAGCCACAGTGAAGAAGAAATTCGCAAGGCATTCCGAGTCTTTGACAAGGATGGCACCGGTTACGTCAGCACGGCGGAGCTATGTCATTCGTGATCAAGTTAGGAGAACAACAGATAAAGAAGGAGATGAAATGATCAGAGAAGCAGGTATTGATGGAGATTGACAAGTCAGCTATGAAGAATTTGTACAGATGATGACTACAGAATGAGGACCTACTTTCAACTCCTTTCCCCCCCTCTAGAAGAATCAAATTGCATCTTTTACCTCTTGCAAAAAAAAAAAAAAAAGTTCATTTAGTCATTCTGTTTCTATATAACGAAACTGAACGTCAAAAGTACCTTCTGTCCACACGCACAAAATCTGCATGTATGGGTTGGTGGTCCTGTCCCCTAAAGATCAAACTACACGTCAGTTTTATGATAGAAACACTTATACTACCTTAAGGATAAGGAAGCACTTGGTGGACTACTTGCAGTCCCATTGGCTAGTGATTAATACATTGGGCTGACCATGGCCAGTCTTTCCTGCATGTGGCTTGACAAGGGAGCCTAGTCAGGCATTTGTATTAAAAACAAAAAATGGAAAAACAAATTTAAAACCTAGTCAAATGGGTTCTAGTTCAGTTTGTTAGTATAAATTGCCATAGCCGGTTTACTGAAAACAAACATTTAAAATTTGGTTTACCTCAGGATGCTGTGCAAAAAACAGGTGAAGGAGAAACTGTCTAGACATAGCGCCCCTCCCCCCCTTAGCAGGACGGCCCTCTCATACTTCCCGGTGCCCCCACCCATGGTGGCAACGACACGCATCCTTGTGGCATGCTGCGTGTGTTGGTTTAGCGTTGTCCATGTTGTACTAGAGCAAAATGGGTGTCAGGCTGTCACCATTCACACAGATTTTTAAAAAGAAACCTTTATCAAGGGAGCATCTGTGGACTGTTGTCAAAACTTTGTGAAGCCTGACTTGGAGCCAACAGAGTAGGCTGTGGCTGTGGACTTCAGCACAACCATCGACACTGCTGTTCAAGAAATTGCAATTTATGGCCATTCCAAGTTGTAAATGCTAGTCTTTTTTTTTTTTCCTTCCCCAATATAAAAGGACCGTTAACTTAAAAAAGATAAACATAATGTAGGATGATCCCAATCTTATTTTAAAAAGATATGAATGTGGGTGCATGCAAAAGATCAGAGGTACATACAGCAATATGTGAATGCAGGATATCTTTGAATGATGCAATTATGAGTGGTTTTTATTTTTCTTTGTACTTTTCTATATTTTTCAGTTTTTCTGTAATGTACACATATTAGTTTTATCATGAGAAAAATTATTTTCTTGTCCGTTCAAACTACATGTTGGTGCTAAGGGAATGAACATGAGGAATGTGGTCAGTGGCAGGAAGGATTCATGAATGAAGTTTTGTTGGAGCACATGAGATTGTTGAATTGAGTATTAAACATAGTGAATGGATATTGTCCATTCCAACCTGAGCCCTTGACAGGAATCTGGACCCAATAATACTTGTGGAATTTGCAACTCCTCCCCCCGCCCCCTCTCCCCCAAGCAGGGCCCCATCCCTCAGCTCTTTGTCCAGACCACCCTTGGCCTGCCTGCTCTAAGCAGCTGCTTATAGTTCTTAGATTCCTTTGTTGCTTGGACTGACCCCTCAGTTCTTTTTTTTTTTTTTAGATTTTATTTATTTATTTGAGAGAGAGCAAGAGAGCATAAGCAGAGGCAGAGGCAGAGGGAGAAGCAGGCTCCCCGCTGAGCAGAGAGCCCTATGTGGGGCTCGATCCCAGGACCCCGAGATCATGACCTGAGCCGAAGGCAGACACTTAACCGACTGAGCCACCCAGGCGCCCCGACCCCTCAGTTCTTATGCCCACCTTAGGTCCCTTTGCTTGGATGGCCGCTGTGGATGAGAGTCTTGGACTCTCTTTAGAGCTGTCTCTTCCTTGGCTCTCATTTAGTTTTTGCTCTTGGACTTGAAGCACTATAGCTATGGTTCAGAGCCTCTTGGCCTCTCTCCCATGCTGGGAGATGCAACCTCATCTGCTGTGCTGGGTGTTGAGAGCCTAGAATGCTGCCTGACAGACAGTAGATGCTCAATAAATATTTATTCTGTGGACAAATGGTGATCACTGGAAAAGTTGGCCGAAAGAAAGCAGGAACGTAGTCAGTGTCTGGGTGGCCTACAGCAGGGGCAATGGAACAGATGAAGAACACTGGATGTGTTTGTGTCTAATAAAGTAGATGCAATACTTTGAAATGAAACAATGGTCAAATGTAGAAGTTCAGATGCTGGAATGTTGGGGAAAAAATTTGGAAATGATGACTTTGCAATACCATGTATTTAATTGGGTCTTCAAGTTCAAAATTTTTATATATTTTCATTTGTGTATGAGAGGGTGTAAAACACACACACACACACACACACACACACACACACACAGGCGCAGAGGCAAGGCATGTTCCTTATTTGGTTCTTTTCACATTTTGTTCCTTCTGGTAAAGCCAGTAATTCAAGATAGTTGCAACAGAGGGCAGAATTGTGTAAGTAATTTAAACACCTTTTTATTCTTACCTGAAAATCACCCCCAAATACAAATTACAGTAGTATGTGGACTGTGCTATAGAAATGCTCCTTTGACTGTCTGGTTTTTAATATTTACATAGCAAGATTATTTAAAAGCATTCGAGTTATTTTTCATGTCATTGTTTGAAATACTTGGTAATGTATGTAAGTGCTAATAAAAAGCAAAATGCTAATCCCTTGAGAGAGAAATACTGAAATGAGGATAATGTATTTATAACTCCTGTATCAAGATTAAGTGATGGGTATTCTTTGTTCCTTTCCAAATATGCTTTATTTAGGCTTATTTACCTTTCTTTCCAATCTAGTGCTGGAATGCAGGCCTTTTGAGGTTACCACCACTGACAAATGCCGATTAATGTTCTTTATTGCAAAATTTCTAAAGCTTATGGGCAAGACCAGAGAAGCAGAAGAGTTGTTCTTGAGTGTCGAGAACATGCTGGTGCAGGTAAAGTGGGAAATCACTTTAAATCCTTCAAATGCTATTCCTTTCATGTTAGATATTTTCAGATATCATTTATCTTTGTTCCTTTATAATTTCATCCACAAAGAGAGGAATTAATAATAAAATGAATACTAAATTAATTATGTTAATCAGAGAGGAAGCTGACTTTAATCCATACCCCAAACTGTAGATTAGTGCCAACAAGTAGTAGATAGATGGAGACATTTTTGAAGATATGAATACCAAGAGGTGCGATTTTTGAGGAAAAAAAGAATGTTGATCAAGCAAAAAAAGGAGGGGCTCCCGGGTGGGTCAGTTGGTTAAGTGTCTGCCTTCGGCTCGGGTCATGATCCCAGGGTCCTGGGATCCAGCCCCGCATCGGGCTCCCTGCTCCGCGGGAGGCCTGCTTCTCCCTCTCCCACTCCCCTTGCTTGTGTTCCCTCTCTTGCTGTGCCTCTCTGTCAAATAAATAAATAAAATCTTAAAAAAAAAAGCAAAAAAAGGACTAGAGGAGTGGGTTGAAATGAACTAATAAAAGACGGGTTAAGGACTTGGTTATGGTTTTATGGTTATAATTTTCACAAAAATGTTGGGGAAGGTTGATTATCTTGTCTCTATATTGATTTACTTTTTCTGAAATATTAAGTTTTGGCTTTGTTGAATACAATGAAAGTTTTACTCAATACATAACTTTGTGTGTATGAGGACATTTAACTGGCCTTTTAAAAATTTATAAATTTTTACTGATTTCAGTAGCATTTGTAGACCAAGAATAGTATAACCCAAGACAAAGCTGTTTTTATTTTAAAACAAAGACCTTCACATTTTTATAAAACACGCCCCTGCCTCCATCAACACACACCTTTATGGAAAGAATTCTATTTAAAGAGATTAATAAGACTTAACATGGCAAGTCTCCTCATGGTGGAGACATGCTTATTTACCAATTTTTGTGTCCTCCACGGCATATTACAACCTACAGGTGCCTAATAAATGGATCAGTGAATCGATTTGAATTTGCAAATACTTCATATCCTAAGAAAGCAGCAGCAGAGTAGTGAATAGAGCGTGGGATGTTTTCGGGCTGACCCAGATTTAAAGTGCTTTGGCACTCACTGCTGTGTGACCTTGGTGAGAATTTTAACCTCTCTGACTCTGTTGAGGATTCTCTTATCTGTCTCAAGGGGTTGTTAACAGAGTCCAGTAAGAAAGTATACAAAGCACTTCGCACACTGTGTGGCCCACAGTGAGATCCTAAGACCTGGTAGCTATTTTGTTATTTCTGTCTGTGGCTTATGAAGTCCCTGAGACCTAGGTTAGAAATAGTAAGACAGCTCGATTTAAGCTATCTTGGCCACTCTTTCATCTTCCAGGGAGTGGAGTCCAGTGATTCTTTGCTCTTTTATTATGCTTGTGGAATTTACCCCTGCGCTCCCCATTTTTTTTTTCCCATGAGGTCCAGACGTTCATACTGACAGGTGTCTGTCTGGAGAGTACCAGTTATTTAATTGGGTAATCACTGAGTGCCTGGTTCTAGTCATTCACTTAGTCATTCACTCATTCATCCACTCGGCTGACACTCACTGAGGGCCTTGCCTAGCTTGAGCACTGTATCGGGAGTTGGAATGGTAGCAGTGAGTGAGGCAGGCACAGTTTCTGCCCTCAGGGAGCTCCCCATCTAGCTGGAAGACATTGGCAACATGCAAAACAGTGATGAAGCAGAGCCTGTCAGATACATGGTCACGAAAGGATAAGACGGCTTCATAGGAGGTGTGCCAGAGCTTAGACATTCAAAGAAAATTTCCTTCTTCAGCGCGCTCCTCTGGGAGGCATCAATCCTATGATTCTGTTGTCAAAATATTTTTGCAACAGTGCTTTGGGACTAGCCACCATGGAGACTGCTAAAAGAATTTTCTTTAGGCTCTGAAGGAACTTCCAAAAGACAAGTCCTGAAACTATTTTGGCAATAACAACTTCTTCAAAAAAGATGCCTAACATTCTCAAGGGGAAGGAGCTTGTTATTTGTGATGAATGCATTCTGTATGTATGCCACTGTTGTAATTTCTTCAGCTTAGGTCATTTAAGACCCACCCCTCAGCAGTGGTGTCCTTTCTACTTTGTACAGAGTCAGTCCTTGACAGAGATGCTTCTCAAAGTACAGAACACTACTGGAGAACTCTACCTTGAAATAGGAATGACTCAGGAGGGCTTCCAGTATTTCCAGAAAGCCTGGTCCAACCTGGTGGAATTTTCACCCAGCAACATGAAAGACAACCAGGACTTCGTGAAGCAGAAAGGTATGGCAGAGGGGTGCAGAGGGGGTAACCCCTGTGTTTCGGAGTCGAGCTCCTGGGCTAGTCCCAGCCACCAAGAAAGGTGGGTGTGAGTTTTGTGGTGGGCACGTGAGGGGTGACCAGTACACACTCCTCGTGCGACAGCCCAGCCGGTCACATGACTCCGAAGCCTGCTGTTCTGGGTTTAAATCTCACCTCTCCACTTACTGGCTCTTTGCCTTTAGACCTATGACTCAACCTTTCTGGGTCACATTTTTATAAGGGAGGGATGAAAGGAGAACCTGTTGTGCGTCCTTGTGAGACTAGAAGTGTTCGTAGGAGACCGTGGCGCATGCAGGGTGGTGCCTGGCATGCAGTCCAGTGCTCACGGGAGCCCGCTCCTTTTAGTCTCCAGTATTTGATGCCTGAGGCTCTGTGGTACCACCGAGAGTGCAGAGACAAAGAAAGTTTACTGAATGAAGATATTAAGCATTTTTGACCCACTGATTTACAGTCAGGCTAAACTAAAGGATTCTAGACTTATGCTGTATTTAAATGGCTGTGTTAATTTGCTCCTGTTGTATAACAAGCCAGCCCAAAAGGCAGCCATTTGAACAATAGCTACTTACTATTGCCCAGAGGCCTGTGGGTTGGCTGGGGGATTCCACTGGTCCAGGGTGGGCTCGGCAGATTAAGGCTGGACTCGTGCCAGTGCCTGAGATCAGCTGGCCTACAAGGGCTTCCCTTAGCTGTCTGGTTGGTGACACAGGTGGCTGGGCCCCACGTTCCTCATCCTCCAGGAGGATGGCCAGGGCCTTTTTGCTTGGCGGCTCGCAGGATTCCAAGAGGGAGGAGCAGAAGCCTGTGCAGAAGCACAGACCTAGGATCAGACCGGGCACACACCCTCTTCTGCTGTATTCAGTTGGTCAAAATGAGTCACCGGGCTTCATTCAAAGGGAGAGCACGAGACTCCACCTCTTGATGGGAGGAGGTGCGGAGTGGCATTGCTGAGGGGAATGGGGTACAGGTTGGCATGGGGGGCTGCTGCAGTTTCTGCAATCTACTACCATGCCTATAAGATCAAAGGTCAGCTTGGGCAAGCTCTTTACCCTTGCTAGATCTCATATGTAAGTCATTTTTATAGTAATAATTCTCATTTGTTGAATGCTTATTATGTGTAAGGCACTTTATGCTCATGATCTTTTATCCTCAAATATACCTCATGTGGTATGTATTGCTACCCTCATTTTACAGATGAGGAAACTGAAGTTCAGAGAGGTAGAATAACTTAAACTACTTCAGCTCTCACAGGCAGCAGGTCTGGAGCTAGGAGTCCCAGCTAGGCTGATCAGACCCTAAAGCCTGTCTGCAGTAACTCCTCACTGTATAGAATCTCTTCTAGTGTTGACATTTATGAAGCTATGGTCCTCAATATATAGAGTGTAGCTTCTGAGGCACCCTAACGCTGACAGAGCTGGTCATAGGCATGCTGGGACCTTGGTGAGCAGAGGAAACCAGGGTGGGAAACAGGTGCTGATCTCAGGTGGGTTCTGAGACTGGCCTTCCAAAGCCGGCTGGGCAGTCTAAAGTGCAGAGCTCCGTGGAGTTGAGCAGACCTTGGCTTGGTGCAGATAAATGTGGCTCCCTGAGGAGTCCAAACCAGCAGGAGGGGTGGGGTCCTGCTGGCAAGGGATGCTTGGGGGTAGACCAGTGTCCTTAGCGGCAACTTTGATGGGAATTCCCTGTAGTTCCAGCGTTCTGAGAAGGGTCAGGCTAGGATTCAGGGCCCAAGCAAGCAGGTGAAGGGGGACGGGCTTGGATTCCAGGCTGGCCGGAGCTGACACATTCAAGAACAATTTCCTGAGCACCTGCTGTGCACCAGGGTGCTGTTCTGGATAGGACAGTCACCAACTCTGTCTTCTAAAGGAGGTGACACAACACACAATAATTGTAGGTTGGAATAAATGCAATGAAAGACACAAACAACATGCAGGTAGAGTGTAGGCAGGTGGAGGGTCCCCTTCTGAAAGGTCCACAGGCCTCTTTGGTTGAGACATATGGTCCTGGCAGAGGGAACAGCCTGTGCGGGGCCTTGAGGTGGGAGGGTCTTGGCCTGTATTGGCAATGGAAAGAGCCTCCCTGAGCAAAGGGCAGGAGGCAGCTGGGTCCAAATTGTGTAGGGCCTTGGGCCTTGGGCAAAAATTTGGATTTTATTCTCCACGAGGGGAAGCTATTACATGGAGTTAGAGTGGGCATGACATCATTTGATTTCTATTTTGAGATTACTTTTTTTGCCGGGATTGCGTGGTGGGTAAGAGGGGACATAGGGAGATCAAATTCATGGCTGTCCCATCTGATGCCCAAGTGTAAGATGTGAGGCCCTGGATGGAGGTGGGGTGGAGTGCAGTGGGCACAGGGCAGTGAATGAGATACCACCAATCATGGGAAAGTGTAATTGTAATCCTTTATACTTATAACTGAATTCCATAGCACAGGATGTTAAATCTGCTTTTCTTTCCTGCTACCAGTGCTGTTCTAACACCTTCTGGGAACATTGGTATGGCTTTTTCTCTTCCTAACAGATAACGGCTTAGGAAACATTTTTCAGCATTTTAGGAGTCTGTATTAGTGTCAGAATATACAACTCTCAATAAAGGAACAAAATGGTGGGGCCTTCGCAGCAGGTACATTCCCAAGGCGGTATGTATCTAGGGATAGCTCATTATTTATTAATTGGATTTATGGGGCTTATTCATGTGCTTCTTATTGTAAGGCTGTATCATTTTATTATTTCTTATTGCAAGACTGGCTGCCTTCGGTAGGACTTGGTCACCACAGTGATGGCTGGTTTTACCACATCCATGTTCTTACTTAATTTCTGATCTATTTATTTGCAGAACAGTCTCAGAACTCAGTTTCAATCCATTGTCTTAGCTCTTTGGCCTTGCAACTGCTGTCCACACACAATCATTGTATGAAAACCAGTCCCCATGCAATGTAGGCCAGTCATCGATTTATTAAGAAAAATCCTGGTTATTGTCGGTGATGAAGCAATGATATTAAGTGCTCTGCCTATTGACATCTTAACTCTTTTGTAGAACAAAAAACCTTAAGCATCATCTTCTTTGCCAAAATGTATTCCCTGCAGGCAGAGTGCTGAACAACCTGGCAAAGTCAGCAACTGAGAAGTACTTAAAAGAAAATCACATTTTGGAATGTGCTGCTGAAATTTCCAGCTTATTGGACAACAGCCCCCGTGATCAGGCTACCATGAAATACACTGAAGGTGTTCTGATGTAAACATGTGTTTTTTTTTTCCTGAAAAATTATTGTTTTCTGTACTAGCTTTTATTGTTAAGATCAGTGTTCTAACCCACACTTGTTAATCCATTTCCCACCTAACTGATTGGGTGAAGAAATGCGGAATGTTAGCACTTCCATCTCTGCTTCAGTGGTTCTCAACCAGGGGTGATTCTGCCCCTCAGGGGACCTTGGGCAATGTCTGGAGACATTTTCGGTTGTCGTGAATGGAGAGGTTGATATTGACATCTAGTGGGTAGAGGCCAGGACGATGCTAGACATGAGGTAGTACACAGGACAGCCCCACAACATACTACCAGCCCAGATGTCAACTGTGTTGGGGTTGAGAATAGTGCCTAGTTTCTTATAAAGATATTCACATGTCTTCTTATATATCACTTTGAAGGTCTTGAATCTCTCTCATTATAAACTGCTCTGCTGTTCTGTATTTTCCTATATACCACAAAGGATATTTATAAGAATTACTTTTGATAGCACAATGAAGTAGCCAACATTATCATGTCCAGTAAATACACACATGCCTTTTATTTTCAGGTTTGTTGCTGGAAACACTTCTCTTGCAAAAATGAGATTTCAAGAATGCTTAACTATCAGGAGAAGTTTATTTGGCGAGAAAAACATCCTAGTTGGAGAAATTATGGAATTTTTAGCAGATTTACTATTTTTTCTACCAGGAGATAGTGAAAGGCAAGTTTTTTAAAAAAAAGATTTAAAAAAATTACTTATTTGAGAAGGAGAGAGAAGGCAAGCATGAGTGGGGTGCAGAGGGGCAGAGGGAGAGAGAGAGAGTCTTGAGCACAACCCTGAGATCTTGACCTGAGCCAAATCCAAGAGTCAGATGCTCAACTGACAGAGCCACGCAGGCACTCCAAGGCAAATTTTTATAAAATATTTCAAATAGTGTGTCTTCTTCCCCTCCCCCAAAACGCCAGGGGCAGGGAGATCTGGGGTTGAGCCATCAGGGGTGTCTCACTTCTTTGGTTGTAGCCTTGTTCAGAAACCTGAGGGGCTCACCATGCCTGAGAGTTGTGTCCCTGTCTATTTGTCAGGACACTGACTGTATTGTATTTGAAAGGAGCTCTTAGCCCACAAACTGTGTAGAGGTTTTGGCAGTAGGAAAAGTACAAAGGAATATGAGGTTGTGTTTCTCTGCATCACTCCCAGGCCTCGGGAGGAAGATGGACAACTGACCCTTGAACCACACAGGTTTGCACTGCATGGGCCCACTTATATATGGCCTTGTTTCCATAAATACACACAGGACTATACATGCATTTTTATCTTCCATATGATTTCCTTCATAACATTATCTTTTCCCAGCTTCCTTTATTGTAAGAGTACAGTATATAACCCAGAGCCTACGGATCTCTGCTAATCGACTGCGTAGGTTATCAGTAATCCTTTCAGTCAACAGTAGGTTTTAGTAGTTAAGTTTTGGGGGAGTCAAAAGACACTGCATTTTCAACTGCACAGGGATCGGTGCCCCAACGCCCACATTGTTCAAAGGTCAGCTGTGTTCACTTCCTGAGACTTCCTGAGCAGGTCTCAGCTCCATTGTCTGCGGGGCCACATCCATTGGTCTGTCTCCTGCAACCCCAGGCCAGCGCCTACAGTGTCTCAGACTTTCTCTGCTTTCCTGCTAACTCTTCTCTCCCCAGCCAGGAAGTCAGAGGCTCTCCTCAGCTCCCTGCCAACCAAGGCATTGTTAAAGCTGTTAAAGAAAAAATTATTCATAATGATGTATGCAGGCCGGGGCCAAGGACCCAGAGGGGGTTCTTGCGGGACCAGCCAAGAGGGTCCTTGGCTTCAGGCAGGATGGAAATCAACTGTGAGCCAGCAGGAGGTGTAGAGAGTGAGAGGTGTGTCTGTTTGTGGGGGGGAGATACAGAAGGAATGTCCAGGAGACTCGGAAAGGAAAGATCATGAGTCTTGTTTCTGCTTGGGGTCTGGGGGTTTTTACTGAGAGTGGTGGTCTGGTGTACATGTCCCCTTAGGCATCCAGGAACCAGTTAGAACCAAGACGAGGGCCCAGGTGTTATTCCTTGGAGCCAGGGGGCCTTGGCATCAAGATGTTTGGTACTGGTGGTCTGGAGTATGCATATAATGGCTTCATTGTCATTTCTCACCTGGTCCTTTCTTAGATGTTATCTGTTCTATAGAAATCATTAATTCCTTGTCCCTTACAAGGACATATGCTATTTGCATTATGAGGCATATATAGAGTGGGTTGGGGGTGCAGGTCCTAGCAAGAGTAGAAGCCAGAAAAAAGCAAAGGAAAAGCAACGTTTTCTCTCATGGGGTCCCTTCACTTTCTCTGTCTCAATAACACTTGTTAAAGAAAGGTAAGGTGGACTTCACTCAGGTCCTGCAGCAGGGTTTTGCAGAGGGGAAGAGAGATTGGACCCAATCCTAAATACAAAGAGAAGTTGGGCAGAGGGGTGTCGGTAGATGGAAATTACCAAGAGGAAGCGTTGTGGGGAGGGGATTCTGGCTCAGTGGACCTAACAGGATTCTTGCTGAAGGCAGGCCAGGGGGATCAGACCTCACCTGATATGATGGGGGAAGGAGGAACCCAGTCTGATATTGAGGGTGATCAGACATCAGGGGTGGGGGAGTCTCCTTAAACTAACTTGGCAGGAGTCTTGCTAAAATTGGACAATGCTCAGATGAACGCAGAAGTCTAAAAGTTGAGGCCTACTTGAGAAAGAGTGAGAAGGGCCTGAGCAGAGTTTGGTCAAGGAGAGATTCTTTGTCGGTTTCTGTATTTAAGAGAGGGTTGTAGGTATTATCCTGTGGATGCCGTCAGTGTTAGCATCTGCAGGGTCCAACCACTTCTCTTGATAGGTTGGTAGAGAGAAGGGTCTTTGTAAGGCCAGAGAGACAGATGTACCACCCCCTTCCTTTGGCTCCAGCTCATACCCTTTCCTAGCCGAGTCAGCCGACCGGAAGGCTGGGGACGCTCTAGGTTAAATTATGAAGTTGTGAAGTTTTGTTTTAGTAGTTTCTGTCCTTCTGCTCTCTGTTTCCTGTCTTGCTTTTCATTTTTGGCTTTCCACTTGCCCTCTTACCTCTTCCCAGGAAGGTAACCTCTTCCTGCATGCGTTTGCTCCCAGGAGAAATGTGATGTTGCTAATTTCTAACATTTAAGTACAAATCCATATTTAGCCTTTCTATGAGTATTTACCTATAAAAAAGTAGCCCAAATAAGGGAGTGTGTAAGGGTAAAATTACAGGTACTGTATAGTAGTGGGGACATGCTGGGCTCTGGGATCTGAGTGCCTGGGTTCAAATTGGTAACAGCGAGAACTTAACATCTTGGTGTCTCATTAATTTCTTCATTGGTAGAATGAAACTGGGGATAGTATCTTGCTCACAGGATGGTTGTGAGGACTAAGGGTTCCCATATGTAAAGTGCTTAGCAGAATGTCTGACACATACCAGAAGAGTTCATTCACCAAATTGAGTTCTTAGTATCACTATGTTGCTCCCCACCAGATAATTTTTTAGACACTGGATACCAGATAAGCCTCCTTCTGTTCCTCTTAAGACCAGCATGGTGAACAGAGACAGGACTCCTCTTTACAGAAGCAAAAAGCGTGACAGTAGAGCCATTGCCTCGTGAAAGAAAAAATCTAAACATGTAGCATACTGTCTGAGTCATCTTGGCTGCCCGGGCTGCCCCACCGCAAATCTAGAGCTGGTGGGGTGTGAATTACAGATGCTTAGTATTGCTCGTCCATTCCATAGGGATGGCCTGTGTGGCAGATGAGCTGAGCCCTCACTGGCAACGGTCAACCTTCTGAAACAACGGAAGGCCTTTCTCCTTGTTGAAGGTTGCCCTTAGGTGACCACATCTTTTTTAACATTAGTTAAGACCAGGAGATGTTTTGCTGTGCAGCTTGACTCACCTCTCACACAGGTGTAGACCCTTTGTCCTGGTGGCCAGGGGCCCTTGTGACAGCTCTCACGCACCTCAGAAATGATCCGTGGGATCTGAGGGCCTTGTGGCTTGGGGATGGGGAGGGCTGGATAAATGAGGTCAAATTAAAAAAAAAAAAAACAGGACAGAGAGGAATGAATAAATGATTAAGAGAAACAGTAGTATGTTCTCAGTAAAATAAATGCCATCTACTCTTTCTTGACTTTGTATCCATTCATCAGCCACCTCTTCAAGGTCAACTTTCTTCCTCCCTTCCCACTTATTGTCATTTAACTTCTACCTCTACCCAGCTCCATTTTGTCTACTCCAGCGAAAGTCATCAGGAACATGTTAAATGTGCCCCTTTGTACTTTTTGATCTTGTTGGGCTTCTCCTGCTGAAGTCCCGAAACAACCCTCTCCTGGTTCCTGAGATACTCTGCCTCCTGACTCTCTTTTCTGATGATCCCTGCTCAGATTCTTTTGTGGGTTTCCCCTCTCTCCCTCCCTCCCTCTCCGACTCCTGTCCAAATGGTGGTGCTGTCTTGGGTTCAGTTCATGGATGCTGTGCTTGGACGCTGGTCTCAGTCTTAGCACCTCAGCCTCACCTGTGCCTGGGGCTTCAGCCATGAGGTGCTGGCTGTTGTCTTCATGTCCTTCTCAGGCCTCCATCATCTATTGGATGTCTCCCCTTGAGTATTCCAAAGTGTTTGGGCATTTCCGAGTCCACGTTCTCAAGACCAAACACATCTACCCCCTCTTCCTGATGAAATGCATTTTCTCCCGTTTCACCTAGTGCGGACGCCATGGTGTCATCTTAATTGTATTTATGATCAGTCACTATGCTAAAGACATTACATGCATTTTTCTCATTGAATCCTCCAAACAATTTGCTATTCTCATTTTGAATGCGAGAAAGCTGAGGTTCAGGAGATTAGAATGCTTGCCCAGCTTTTAGGTGGTAGAGCCAGGATCGGCACCCAGCAAGTCTGATTGCAGGGCATCTGTGCCTCACTAACGCCTACCAAGCCTGCCTGACTTGAGAGCGCAGGCTCCTAACCATGTCGCTCTACTGCGAGCACGGCGATAACCCAGTGACCCCAGCACTGGGCCCACAGCGTTCAGTGTGGTGCCCAGCCTTGGCAGGTCTGTCTCATCCGGGCCCACGGCATCGGCTCAGACCCTCCTGCTTCCCGTGGACTAACTGGCCTCAGTGTCCCCTCCACACTACCAGCCAGGTGAATTTTCGGATCACATCATTCTCCTAATGAAAACTCCTCACTGTTAAAGTCCAAAACCCTTAGGTTCGCAGGCAGTGCCCTTCATGAGCGGCTGGTCCTTTGTTTCACTCTTTAGCCTCTGCTCCAACCTTGAGAAGTTCTCTGAGGGCAAGGATCAGTCTTACTCATCCTTGAGCCCCAAGCCCCGAGTGTTTGTTGAATGAATGAATGCAGTGCTTCTTGAATGCAAAACTTTAATTAAATTTCTCTTTTCCAGATTCCAAAAGAAGCAAGCAATTGAGTATTATAAACAAGTGATACAAATAAAGGAGAATGCGGGGACTTTCGCCAACTCCTCACTCGTCAGGAAGCAGCTGAGCATTAGCCTCAGTGACACCTTGTGTAAATTAGGTAATTGCTGATGTGTTTCTGTTAGAAGCAGGTGACTTTTCCCTTTGACCTGCATACTTTGCTTATTTTTAAAATGTCTTTATTTTCTAAGCAGGCAACTCCTGTTCCACAGACTTTCAACTTTTTAAGCTACTTGTTTACCTTCTCTTATTAGGAATGTGTCTTAGTCTGCTTGGGTTGTTAGAACAGAATGCCATAGACAGGCAGGCCTGAACAGCAGAGATGTATTGCTCAAAGTTCTGGAGGCCGGGAAGTCTAAGATCAAGGCGCCAGTAGACTCGGTGTCTGGGGAGAGCCTGTGTCCTGGTCCACAGACAGCTCCTTTCTCCCTGTGTCCTCACATGGTGGAAGGAAGGGCACCTCTTTTATGAGGGCACTAATCCCATTCACGAGGGGTTCACCTGCATGACCTGATCACCTCCCAAGGGCCTCATCTCCAAATACCGTCGTTTGGGGGTTAGGACTTCAACATAAGAATTTTGGGAGGGGGGACACAAACAGTCCATAACAGAAAGAGATCTTCTTTTCTTTTTTCAAGATTTTATTTATTTATTTGAGAGAGAGACAGAGCACAACAGGGGGAGCGGCAGGCAGAGGGAGAAGCAGACTCCCCGCTGAATAAGGAACCTGATGGGCCTCCATCCCAGGACCCTGGCATCATGACCTGAGCCGAAGGCAGATGCCTAACCGACCGAGCCACCCAGGGGCCCCAGGAAGAGATCTTCTGGAAGTCTTTCCATCCCATCTCTCACTCTTTTGTTGGCAGGGCATGATGCCCAACCACAGCCCTCTCCTGTCAGGGTAGGTTTCCTTCTTCCTTCTGATTCTGTTTAAGTCACTCTTTCTATAGGAATAGCCTGTTCACGCTTATTCCCATGACACTAAAATAACAGGTGACTGAAAATCACAAATGGGCCCACCTTTGATTTTACATATCGGATGTAAGACTCAGTGCCTCAGACCTGGCTCAGAGATTTGAAGGCACTTTCTGATTTAAGATAAAAATTAAAAACTTAAATGAAATGAAAGTTAAAAATTGAAAAAAAAATTGGTCTTAAACCTAAGAGGGCCGGGGTTGGGTACCTTCACTCCTCTTGCTACTTGTTGTTTCTATTATTTCTGTTTTGCTTCTCTTCACTGGACAAGTTCCCATCCTTTCTTTGAGTTTCTTCCACCAGAATGTTATTATTGCCTGTGGTTTGTAGTAAAGGCTGTTTCTTCCTCACTGGCACTACCGTTACTGAACCTAAAGTCAGTTTCGTGTGTCTGATGCCCAGTTAGCCAATCTAAGCCACCTGGTTAGAAGAGAGAAAGCTTTTTTATCAGAAGGGCAGCCCGATGGGAAGGCAAGGCATCCGTCTCGAACCTGCCTTGTCTTTGTTGAGCCTACGGACAGTTTATGTGGGGCGAATAAGGTATGCGGGGGTTAGGGTGGGAACTGGATGGGCCTCGAAACTTCATGAGGAGAGGCTCAAAACAGAGATACTGTGCTATGGGGACATCTGGACTCCATCCAGTGGTCTCAGAGCGTTACTTGTTGGCTTTGGGTCTGTAAAACAAGGGTTATCAGGTAGCCTCCCTCCTTGGTTCCTGTAGCAAGCGCTGGGAAAAAGAAAACGGGGCAAGGTTAATGATTCTTGCGAGGCTGTAGAGGAATGTGCTTACGTGCAGCCCACGAGGTTACGGTGGAGGAAGGGCCTAGTGACAGTTCACCTAGATAAAGAAACTTATGCCCTGGTGAGGTGGAATTTATCTCCATTTGAAGGGCCATCCTCCAGGCTGACTGTTGACGAGCTCCCCAGAGGCCTCGTGAGAGAGGGGTCCTCCTTGCCAGACTCGGCTCCAGCCAGGGACCAGAGTGGCCAGGCCCTGTCCTTCCCTGCCTCACTACTTATTTGGCCCAGGACCCTGTTAGCTTGCTCTGCAGATAGGGGCCACATGATGAGTTCTGTCCTTTGCCTGGGGTGTTGCTGCCAAACCTGGGAATCTAGGAGATTGGAGAGTTGGATTGGGGGCTGCAGATAATGCTGGGACAGCAGGCTGGAGTCTGGCCACAGCTGGAGGGAGGGAGGGGGTGGGGGTGATCAGGTCTGCGAGTCCCCGGGGCAGGGGCGGGGGTTGTCTCCAGTGAGCGAGTTCCCAGTGTGCCAGGTAAAGACCTCTCAGCCCGTGGGCAGCTTTATTTCTTCCAGTGGATTAGACCAGAAACCTCAAGTGCCATGACTAGAAAAATTTCGGAATACTGTCAGGGATCATGAAATCTCATTGCCACAGGGCATGGCCAACTTCCATCTAAACAGGTTTTCAGCCCCGTGTGATTTTATCTCTCAGGACAGAAGTCTGGAGAAACCTTGATTGTCATGATAAGGGGAGGGGAGAGGGGGTGGGCGTTGGGGGGGGGCAGGGAGCACTACTGGCATTTAGTGGGTGGAGGCCTGGGATGCTGCTCAACACCCTACAGTGCTCAAGACAGCCCCTCCGCCAACAGCAAAAAATTATCCAGGTCCGTGTCAAAGTGCCAAGACTGAGAAACCCTGAGTTAATCAACCATTTTCCCCAGGGTGCATGTTTGTTGTCCGTTTTACAATAAAACACGATTGCTTTCAGCCTAGTCATTTGCTAAGGAGGAAGAAGGCTTAAATACTTGCTATCTGCAGGGAAAGATTATTTTCAGTCCATAGATTTAGGAGCACGTGTGTGTGTGTGTGTGTGTGTGTGTGTGTGTGTGTGTGTGTGTGTGTACAGTGTTTTTTCAGTAAGGGTTTCCAGGCTGCGTGCATGAAGGATTTTGTTTACAACCAGAAAATACAGTTGCAAATCTATGCAAAAGGAACTATACACCTAATTTGGTTGCTTTGTTTTAATAGTTTGTTGCCAGTTGTGGTTTCTATTCTATGATGTAAGTATAATATATTCGTTTGCTCTCAGATAAGAAGTTGATTAGCATGTGCATCACCCTTACACATGGGAGCGCTCGGCAATGAGTAACTCCAGGGGGTGGTTAGGACTTGGGGTCTATGTACCTAACTTAGCAGGGGAAAGGGAAGTGGAGGAAAGATAAGGGCATTTAAGGGAAAAGCAAATTACTTTTTGGAAAGATAAATGAACGCTTAGGAGAATAAATGATGTGTAGTTTGTAACAGTGTGTGTCTAGGTGTGGTGCTAGCTTCTTGTGTCCCAGGAGAGAAGATGTGAGTTGCCCTGGGGAAGGAATTTATAATGCTTGAGTCCTTTTGGGGGACTCTGCTTTTAGGCACATACAGGATTTTAAGAACTCAAATGCCTTCAGCTCAAAATATTATGTCATCAGGAATGCGGCATGCTTTGGGGTAGCATATCCGGATCCCCTTTGCCTACCTTTAATGGAGAATGTTTATCTGAATGGAATGTGCTCGAGTGGACTCCATAAAACAAGAAGTAATCCATAGCCACCCATACTCCCGACTCCTCATCGTTCGCCATTGTAAACCAAGTCTTAGCCCTGTAGTAAAAGTGTTAGCAAACGTCGGTCATCAGAGCACTCCTTTGACACTATGTAATTTTGCACTGAGGAAGAAAAGAACCATTGTATACTGACGATTAGCAGTTATTTATTCAGTACACATTTATTTTAATCGCTTTATAAATTGTAATGCATGGTGGAATTGTAAGGATGTTTTGTCTTACCCGACTAGTTTGTAGATCTGGGGTGGTTTGGGAGAATTATGCACCCTCTAAAGATAAACAAGCTTCCTACTGCCCCCCAGCCCCCAGCCCCCTGGGAGCACTCAGCATGAAGCTGCCCACGTGGATGCTAACACAAGTCATTGCTTGCATCTGCCCTTGTGACTTTGGATTGGAGGCTCATGTATGAAACTACTGTTTGTTCCCTTTGTCTCCAGCTTGTCTCCCTTGTGGGGCCAGTTCCTCGGGTGCTCTGCAGTGGGCTGCCTATCACTTTGAAGTTGTCCCTTAGGTCCTTCAACATAAATTTTATGAATGCCATGTGGCCTGTATTTCAATTCAGATCATCCTACACATACCTTCTAAATTTGGGAACAGTCTGTCTTGATCTTATCTGGATGCAGTAACAGACAAACAGGTGGAAACAAGGTTCCCTGTGCTTGAAGGACTGTCCTAAGTATACCTGGGATATGAAAACAAAAGACAACTTTCGCCTTTCACTAACTGCTTACTTTGTTGGGAGGTAAAACAAGCCTATAATAAAAGATGTAACGTGTGAAAGGTTTAGAACATGGCCTGGGTGGAGGAGACTGAACTGGGTTTGAGTTCTCGCGTGGCTGTATGACAGGGATGGGATCTCAGCAAATCACAGCTTCTCTGGCTCATGTCCGTCTCTGACTTTATAAAATAAGGGTGTTGAGTTCTTTGAGGCCCTCTGCAGAGTTAATAGGCCACATCTAAATGTAAAGGAAGACAGTGATCAGTAGCAGGAGGTTTTTCAGGGAAAACCTCTTGGGAGGAACCCTTAAGAAAGTGGAGGGTGTGAACTGGCAGAGAAGGGGGCACTTCTAGGCAGAAGACTTGCATGAACAAAGATAGGAATAAAGAAATGGAGAGGACAAATTGGAGGCTGTCATGAGGGGCTGTGAGAAAGGGTGGGACACGAGGTGAAGAAGCAGGAGAGCAGGCAGTGTTGGGAGGAGGTGGTGGTGTGCTGGTCTGAAGGCAGTCCTGCATGTGGGCAAGTGGAGATTTAAGTCTGAAGAAGGCTGGGGGGCCCGTGATCCTCTCGTGGGCTTATTCTCTTTGGGAGATTGTTTTGGAAATTATTTACAATTAGTTAGAGCTTCTTAAGGCTGTCTGAAATGTCTCCCAGTTCAGAGTGAAGCAAATTTCCTGTCCCTTGTTGGGGAGCAAGAATTCCTGTCCCCTCAAAGGCCCTCATAGATGGACTAAGAATCAAGTCGACATGAGACAGAATAACAGGAGAAAATCAGATTTAATAGCGCACATGTGGGCAATCCACACAGACATAGAAATTCCAAAGACAGGGAAAA